ACAAGTGTAATATCCACTAAAGCAAAGCTTAAGTATATAACACCAACAGGAATACCTTCACTCCGTGCTCCCCGATGCCGACAAGGCTCGCGTCGAGGGGAACGAGTACGAGCGCTCTTGCTACGCTACCCAATGTCTGGTTCGGGTACGTGCTTTGTTCTTAAGTGTTTATGTCTTGCGTATTTCTTTCTGCATTTCATGATTAGTTCCTTTGTGTAGTTTTTGGCGGCCGCTCTCCCTGGCCTCAAGGCCGGCACTCGACCCTCCACTTCCTCCAGTGAGGCCCTCGAGGACAAGTGCGAGGCGCAGCTTAGGGAGATTGCCCAACTAAAGAAAGAGATGGAGGATTCCAAAGCCCTGGTCGATAAGTTGAGAGCCGACAAGGCCGTTGCCCTACACGAGAAAGAGAAGCTTCAGGCCGATCTCGAGAAGGCTCAGGAGGCGAACATGTACGAAGTGGACATCGGCATCGTTGAGGGCCGGAAGTCATTCTTGAGGACTGGCATAGGTGCTGCCTTTGTTCGTGAATATCGCAAGGAAGTCGTCAAGGCTTTCTGCAATTCTCCTGAGTTCCTCGACAAGCTCTGCCTCGCCTCCGTTCAATATTTCGACTATGCCTTCGACGCTTGGGAGGCTGTGGTGGCGGGTTCTGAGTTTGCTGGGAAACTCGACCAGGAGGCCCTGAAGCGTACACTTCCTGACCCTGACGGTTATGAGGGAGATCCGTCTCTTCCGGACGACTACCCCTGGTGGACGGGTCTCGAGGCGAAAGTTGTTCGGGAGGCTAAGCTCACTTATCAACTTGATGCTCCCCTGCCTTCTCCCGTCCATCCTGTCGGGCCGAGTGATGGTGATCAGGTCGTGACCATTCTCGAGGAGAGCGACGAAGATGTCATAACTTAGTTATATTTTCGAGGCTTATTGCCTTCAATTTGTCGTTTTATTTTTGTTCTGATCGACCTAATTTTTCAAATTGTAAAGGTTGAGACGACTCTTGTAATGAATCTTTTTTTTTTTTAAATATTACTCTTTATTTTATCTTTGACTTAAGTTGTTACGCTCCTGCAACATTGTTGTTCATACATTCCTCGAGTTTTTACTTGCAACTTCGTGATTGTAGATTTATCGACATTTCTTTTTCTCACACATTTTGTAGTTAGTGCTTTTGCAGTTGTAGACGGGTTATATGAGATAACTTGTTGTTTGAGCTCTTTCACAGTTGCGGGCTTTTATAGCTTCGTCGAGATTTCGCTCGAGGCACGCAACCTTTGTTGCTTGAGTCGACTTTTATAGTCGGGCTTTTTAGCCTTGCCGAGATTTCGCTCGAGGCATGCAACCCTTGTTGCTTGAGTCGACTTTTATAGTTGGGCTTTTTAGCCTTTCCGAGATTTCGCTCGAGGCATGCAACCTTTGTTGCTTGAGTCGACTTTTATAGTCGGGCTTTTTTTTAGTCTTGCCGAGATTTCGCTCGAGGCATGCAACTTTTGTTGCTTGAGTCGACTTTTATAGCCGGGGGCTTTTTAGCCTTGCCGAGATTTCGCTCGAGGCATGCAACTTTTGTTTTTTGAGTCGACTTTTATAGTCGGGCTTTTTTTTAGCCTTGCCGAGATTTCGCTCGAGGCATGCAACTTTTGTTGCTTGAGTCGACTTTTATAGTCGGGGGCTTTTTAGCCTTGCCGAGATTTCGCTCGAGACATGCAACTTTTGTTGTTTGAGTCGACTTTTATAGTCGTCATGATTAGTCGGCTATATAGCCGTTTCGAAAAATTCAGTTTGTCCAACAATTATGTAAGAAAACAAATAAATATATAGACATCTTCGAAGAGTACATTCAAAATCCATTTCATTACTGAATATGATTTGATCGTGGTTCAGTACAAAAACCAAATTCGAGAACATTACTTAAGCATAAAAGCGTTTGAGATGGGTAACATGCCAAGATCGCGACAGCTGTCGTCCTTCTATATCTTTAAGTTCATATGCGCCTCTCTCGAGCACCTTGGTGACTGTGTATGGCCCTTCCCAGTTTGCTTCTAGCTTCCCGACATGCTTCAAGGCATCGGCCCTCTTTTCGAGGTCTCCTACTTGAAATCGCCTGGTTCGCACTTTCTTATCAAAGGCTGCACGCATCTTTTTTTTATACTCCACAGATCGTAACCAAGCCTCCTCGCGTACTTCCTCTATCATGTCGAGGGCTTCCTCCCTTAACTTATCGTTGCTTTCTTCTTCGTAGAACATTGACCTGTGCGAATCTAAACCAACCTCGATAGGCATAAAGCATCCATCCCATACACCATATGAAAAGGTGATTGCCCCGTCGAACTCCTCGGGGTCGTCCTATAGGCCCATAAGACGCTTGGTAGCTCATCGACCCAAGCGCCAGATGCTTTCTCCAGCCTCTTCTTTAATCCCTGTAGGATGGTTCTATTTGTCACTTCGACTTGTCCGTTTGCTTGCGGGTGCGCCAC